CCATCCAATATGACCCAACTTCGATCTCAGCTGTTGATCCAAGACAATATTCAAGGCGTTTTCGTGATTTCATATATAAAGTATTTGCTGAAGAGACTACTTGAAACCAATTTCTTGTATCTTCAGCCATGTAGATTATATTGTGTGCACAAACTTTCATCCCTTGGAGAAAGCTTCTGTCCTTTGCAATTTTTTATTTATTTATTTTTTTTTTACCATATATTAATTATACATACAAGGCCATAGGTAGATGTATTAAATATTTCCTTTAAATTATAGAAAGAAGCTGTGAGCAGGAGCAGCAGTAGTGCATTGTAAATTGTATCAGAATGTAAAATTTTCTGATCAATCTATTCCTTTTGTCTCTTTCTTTGAGCTTGAGAGACAGAGGTTTCTGGGACTTGTAGCCTCTGTATTGTATCCAATTGTATACAGGAAAAATGAAATGAGATTCTGATGTTTGTTATTTCTGAACACTACCCCAGTTTATCACATCAGTTGAGTTCTTCTAGCTCCCCCCAATTGTGACTTCAACCAATTTTCTCACAAGCATTTTCTTTCTTTATTGAACTTTTCATGTCACCGCCACCAACCAAAACATATATATATTGGTGAATAAGATTCTGCTATTGGGGCAAATCTTAAAATCAGTGGCCAAGTATTACGCAATTTAAGAGGAGGAGTGTGACATGATATTGCGGGAAGTGGGATTCGAACACAGGACCTCAGATGCAGGAAATTGCTCTTAACCACTTAAGCTACAAGTTGAATGGGTATGAGATCAATCTAATTCTTGGTTTTCACTTGTGAAGACCATACTTTTAAGTAAGGTTTTTGAAAATCTAAAGAAAATTTTATGCATCCCCACTTTGTCACGTTCATATGAATATCAAAAAAATGAGAACCAAGTTTCTTAATACATTTTAAGTTACATTATCTTATGAGAATACTATCAAATGCAGACACATCAAGAACCAGAGAAAGCTTTCGTTGTTTCCTATTCTATATTGAGGAAATAAAATCAACGATGGGAGTGCATTTTACAAAACCAATTAACATCTAATTCAAAACCATATTCATAATACAATAAATAACCCAACATATTAACATTTGATGTTATATTCATATTTGGATTGGTGCACTAGGTGCGGTCATATTTAATGAGTCATTGAGTTATTGAGGTTTGATAAGAGTTTAAATTAGGCTGTACCTTGCCGCTCAAAACCTTGTGAATTAATGAAAGTTTTGAAGCCAATTAAAGGGGTCCTAATTACTTCCTTTTGTGTGAACCGTTGCTTGATGGGCCTAGAGTGTTAGTCAAGCCAAGCCTCAGTGATGAGTAGAGATGACTTGATCTAGCCCTATATAAGTTTAAGAACTTGCTCTCATTAGATACGTTCTCTAACCCTAATCTCATCATAAAGAGAGAATTAAAACAGTTTTTGAGAGAGGAGAAGCCTTAAGCCGTTCGTGCCTTGCTTGCATTGCTATTGTTGTTGAATGAGTTCTGAGACCATGTACTCTAGAAAGAATGGCGTGAGGTATGAGTTATATGCATTTCAAATTTGAGTGAAAGATCTTAGACACTATAGAATCTAACATTTGATTCAAAACATATTCGTAATATCATAACAATCACACAACTCATTCGCATTTGAATCTAAAAACCAATTGAGATCACCTATATACATTTGACCCATTCACATAACGCCACCGAGTTGCAACCAAAAGACATGCATAGAGGAAGTGTATAATTTTTTTTGCCGAATTTTAAATACATCATATATGCAATTCTATCAAATATATATACATATCTATAGTTCTTTATTTCATGTAACATTTGCATATATGTCTTCAGCATTTTCCATTTTGGCTTTTCCATCAACCAAGAGAATTAACAACAATTAAATACTGAACGGTCAATGTCCTATATTATATGGAATCAGATTTTCATGCAAATTTAAAGCTCGGTTGGAACCGAAAATAACCGGATTGAACCAGATCAAATTGGACTGGATGAGTAGTACCACTTACTGTTTCAGTTTAAAGTGAGAACCAGGCCGAATCAGACCTTACCCACCACTATCCATATGTCCAATTTGAATTTTAAATTGATGGCAAAATCACGTTTATCCCTTCATTTGGCATTGAATCTAATGAGCATCATTTGAAGCTCAGTTTCTCTGTGTTCTTCATCTCTTAGATTCCATTCTAATTTTTAATGATTTCCAACCCAATTTTTTCATTTCAATTTGAGATTGTACTAAGATGGTCAGTAATTGGATCGATTTTACTTTAGGTGATGTGGATATCATTGTTTTGAAGTAAGTGATTTTGTTTCAATTTCTTTAGATTTCTATTCTTCCAATATGGATTCATATCTCGTTTTTTATTTTATTGATACTTTGAAATTGAAATCTTGTTTCTGAACCTGTTTTTGGTTGTTATTTTCAAAGATTTTGAGTTTTGGTTGGTTTTCGATTCACGATTTTGAGTTTCGAAGGAAAGATAGAACTTAAGCAAATCACCGAAGCAATTTAGAAGAAAATAAAACACAAAACATTATGTCTTGAACCCGGTTTTGTTCTCTTTATTGGCAATCTAATAGTCATATGGATCTTATTTTCACTACAATTTACTCTTATTTTCATAATATTAGTTTTTATAAAAACTTTCACATATACCATTTCAATAGACCAAATTACCCTCAGAATAAAAAACTTTCACACATGCAATTCTCTTTCTCTGTACCTTGAGTTGTTGAAGCTTGAAATCTGGATTACTCCACCGGGCCAGTCCAAACCTGGTTAACTTACTATGATGTAATGAAAACTTCACCTGAGGATCGTCAATCCATACATCCATGGTCCCCCACACCAAGCTTTGTCGCAGCAACATGACATCCTCAGTTAACACACAGATTTTTACAAACCCACCCTCAACAAGTTTTTGCCGCAAAGCTTCTTAGATTGACTTTGCAATCCACCTAGTTTCCAACAATTATAAAATACCCAATGTTTATCTATATTTCCCCAGAAAATATGAGTATTTATTTCCCCATGTCTCCAAAAGTTAGTTCCTTAACCACTTAGTTGAGGGCGGCTAAGCCCATCATAGTTTTCTCTCCTTCTGCCGCAAGTCTGGAACAAAGTTTTTCTTTTTAGAAAGTGGGTGTTAGTCTTAAGGGCATTTGAATCTTTTCAGGTGAGTTTTTGGTTACTTTTGAAAGTTTTTATAAAAACAGATATTTATGAAAAAACAGATTTTTGTAGAAATGTCACATGAACTTATATCGTAATTTCAATTTGTTATCTTAAAGAAAAATTTAAGAAAAGTGTATCTTAATTTTTCAAAATCCATGATTTATCATATGACTTTAACATCATCTAATTTTCCATTCATTTTTAAGGGTATTTTAGTCTTTACACTTTCAAGTGTAGGGTGTATTCAATTCTAACTTTTAATGACTTTTAATGAGTTTAAAAGTCTGAAGGTATTCAATTGTGACTTTTAAATAGTCTTTAAAAGTTTAGTTGTATTCAATTGTGAGTTTTAAAGAGTATTTAAAAGTTTTGAGGTATCCAAAATGTTAATGACTTTTAAAAACTTTGTTAAATAAATGACTTTTCAATACTTTTAAAGGTAATTATTACTACCAAATGTCTTGCTAATTTACACCAGACTTTATAAAAATATTGGGAAGCTGAGAAGATAGAACCAAAACGTCTCCAAACGTCTCCAATTCCTTTTTCCTTTGTTATATCAAGCATCATGCAGATGGATCTTTTTTCTTCATGGTTAGGGCTCCACTTTGGTATCCCATTGTCATCCACTTCCTTCAGGTTAGTAAAAAAATATTGAATGTTTTTCTTCTCTTCTCATCCACACGTTTCTGTTGATGAATATCTCTTCTCATCCACTTCCTTCAGCTATGTTTGCATATAAATATTTTATTATATTGATTGTCTCATATGCTATGTTTGCATGGCTAAGCTTTTTTAAAAACTGAATCATGGCTAGTTGAATGCCAATTATTTCCTTATGGTACATTTTCAAATGTACTTTGTCATTTTTATCATTTTCTAATGTTAAGGAGAACTATTCTTTGCTTTTATGTAATTGTATCCAATTGTTTTTTTCCCTAATTTTTTGTTCAATATATGCCGACTAGTTCATTCAACATAAAAGATAAATGCTATTTGTAAAATAAATATAAAAATAAGTATTTAAAAGTCTATAAAACTCTATGACAAAAAGTATATGAAAGTTTGTCACTTAACTAGGATGGATTTTGAGAAGGAAGCAATTGTATATCTTTTAAACAAGAAAGGGTCCTGTGTGATGCGTTTTGGGGGCGAGTGGGGTTGGGGAGAGAGGTCTCTCTTTTTTTCTCTTTTTCTTTCTTTGAAAATAGAAAGACTAAAATACCCTTAAAAATGGATGAAAATTGGATGATGTTAAAGTCAGATGGCAAATCATGGATTTTGAAAAATTAAGGTGACATTACTCTTAAATTTTTCTTTAATATGACAAATTGAAACTAAAGTATAAATTCAGGTGACATTTTTATAAAAATCCCTTATAAAAATGGGAAGTAAATTTTGGCTATTTTTAATAAAAACCCTTTGTTTAACCATATAGTACTTCACGCACAAGGAAGTCTGGCGGGCCATGTCTGGGTTTGACCCCTACTCGTTTTAGAGATGACCCAATCAGCTGTCTGTCGCACAAGCATATGTAATTAAACCTACAACTCGTCCTCGATGCCGCATATGACCAAAGCAAGTCCAAATTCATTTGTCTCTTTTTTCTTTCTCACTTGATAATTAATTAACTGACCACTCAAAAAACAGAGAAAAAAGAGAGCCCTTTTCTGATCACTCCCACGTAGTGGGATTTGGGAGCACCCAAGGGGCAAAATGACGAAGGGCGAGGACGTAGCGTAAGACGGGTGCACCGAGGCGCAGGAGATAGAGGCTGCGGAGAGGGAGGCCCAGTTAACAAAATGAAAGAAAGAAAATCGAACGTAGACGAAGTAGACGCCAGAGGTGAGGTGAGGTGAGGTGAGGTGAGACGCGGGTGGTTGGTTTTGGTTCTCCGAGCCTCTCTCTCTCTATCTCTCTCTCTCTCTCTCTCTCTCTCCCTTTTATCTTCAACTCTCATCCACACCACACCACACCACACCACGTTTCTCATTCTCCACGAACTCCTCTCTCACTCACTCTTTCGCTCTCCTCCTTCCCTCCCTCTCTCTCTCTCTGTACCTTCTTTCTTCTTCTTCGTTTTCAATAATGGCTTTGCAGTCATTGGCTCCGATTCCTCAGCTGGTTCATTGCTCCAATAATGGCCGCTCGCCCGCCCAGCCTCTTCGGAACGGGCGCTTCGTCGTCGATTTCGTCGGGCTCTACTGTAAATCGAAGCGGACCCGCAGGAAAGTCAGAGCCTCCGAGCATCGGTCCTTCCCTCAATTCGTTTCCAGGAGCTACTCGGTCAACGCTGTTCTTGACCTTGGACGTAGCGATGCTGCTTTGGATCAATCAGCTGCTTCTCCTCCTTCGGATTTGAAGCCAAAGGTATGCTTTTAGACTTAGAGAGGAGGAGGTGTTTGGTTCCGATCCTAACAAATGGTTTTCCCGGGAAAATAGAAAATGGGATTTAAGAACAGAGTCAAACGTGTTCCTTGTGTTGTTTTCATTGCCCTTGTTTGGTGTTTGCGAGCTTCTTTTATTTGATATGCAGTTGTTCTTCAAGGTCTTAAGGCACTGTTTGTTTGGGCTTTTGGAAGTATCTATTTTTCATTGCTTTGAAGCGTTAAAGTTTTTCTGACTTTTGCTAAACGCAAGATGAATGATTTCAGTTACAAATAGAGAACTAATGTAGTAAAAGAAATGCTCAGGGATGTTTCCTTAGTACCACGCTATAATTCATGTCCGCTAGTTGGATATGCTTGTTCATAACTGAAGGCAGTATTGTGATTATTTGAGTCTTTCTCCACTGATTACATCAACCATATTAATAAAAGAGACAAATATCATAGGCATGTCCTGGTATGCTACCCAGTGGCATGGCATATTAATCAAATAGCATAGACGTGTATGGAATGTCTGTATATATGTTTTACCCTGACAGGTGTCCTTCCTTTGTCAAACAATTGTGATGACGTACCTGGAGGAGATTTTGTGCTTCCTAGATTTATCTATACTAGAGTAAAATTTAAGGTGTCAAATTAATTACGAACATGATGATCATACGAAAGATCAAAATAGAATTTCTCACTAAACTATCCTCTTAAGCAATATCTTCATCTTATCATAAACTAAGTAAAAACTTCTGTCTACTTTTCATTTCAATATACAAGATATGATGCAGTCTACTTTTGACAATCTTCATTACTGAAAATTCTTGCTGGAACACATACATATGAGATAATATGCTACCAAATTACAGGTTGCCTCCTTACCTAATATAGTCGATAAGTATTATAGAAGAGCTTAGAAGTTCTTTCCAGTGATACCCTTCAGTTCAAGTTTTGGTGTTTTCCATTGATTAATTCTTAAAAATAGTTTTTAGTACTTTGACGAAACATATGTGATACACCTTTAGTAGAGTTTCTAATACACAATAGGGTGGTTATTTAGTTTCTATGCATGAATATGTGTTAATTGAAACTCTACAGCTGTAATATGAAATATTAGTTCTAAAAGTAAACCATATATAAAGTTTGCAGGATATTACCCACTAATACGCCAGAAATTTAGTCGTCCTAAGGTTGTACACGTCTCAATTTATATGCTGTATAAGAGTTTTGTATGGGTAGAATTTGTGAAAGAGACAATTATCCCATAGTTGGTGTGTCAAGGGAATTTTGAAATCTTGGGTTGGGAGGAAAGGGGGAGGCATGACCTCCTTCAGCCTGAACTATGTTCCACCAGTGGTTGTGCAGGATAGCTGTCAATCATTTCCATTGTCTTGAGGACCAAGCAAGAGAGAGACTTATTTCATGAAAGTTTATTGTCTTTCATGAAAATTTGTTAGAAACTTTGACCCTCTGTTCTCTTCCACTTTCTTTATTTTCTGGCGCAGTAGTTGTTTATGCATTTGGAATGAGTTATTGCAAGCACTTATTTCTAGAAAATCGAATTCCATGCTCAACAGGTTGCAGACTTGCATGATATTATAGCAGAAAGGGGAGCTTGTGGAGTTGGATTCATTGCCAATTTGGAAAACAAAGCATCCCATGGGATTATTCAAGATGCTCTAACAGCTCTTGGCTGCATGGAACATCGAGGTGGCTGTGGAGCAGATAATGACTCTGGTGATGGTTCAGGATTGATGAGTTCAATCCCATGGGATCTATTTGACAATTGGGCTAACAAGCAAGGGATTTCTTCCTTTGACAAGTTGCACACTGGTGTTGGAATGGTTTTCCTCCCAAAAGATGACGACCTTATGAAAGAAGCCAAAAAAGGTGATTTTTTTATAATCCTTGAATTAAGTGTGTCACAATAATTTATTTCTGTTTTCACTGATAGAATATGTGCATAATTCTTGAATTTTGGTTAAGGTCTGCATGAGTTATGTTTAAAGCAAGTCAACCCTCCTCCTCACCCATCAAGATGATTTTTTATCTTATTTTCGGTCTGAAGATGGTTTAGGTATTATCTCTTAAATTCTCTGGCAAAGGTATCCAGAGAGAAGCTAAAAATTTATTCCTATTCAAAAGAAGATCATATCTCTTCTTGTAAAAAATCTATGTTTTTTTTTTCTTCAACCAAATAATCCACAAAAGAACCAAAATCAAGCACTGCAATGAGTGGTTGCCTTTTTGTTGGCCTCTAAATGCAATAACCTTTCTACCAACAAGGAAAAGCCCATACCAGTCCAGACTTATCTAATAACTTGGCCTAAATTTGCTTTGTAATATTGCAATGCGAGAAAACATTAACATCACCCTCTCCCTCCATTCTACACAAAGCGGACCAGTGTTGAGATTAACATACTTAAGGGCTTGTTTGAATCATATCACAAGTATTTAGCTTCGCATGAACCACCACCCAGGTAAGGCCTTGTATTTTAGTGGGTACTACACCAACCTTATAAATTCAATAACTTGTCCTCCATATTATTATTGTTAGTCTTTTGCAATCCTATTTTTCTATACTAGTTAACGAGTTTGGACAGTCTATTTGCTTCAAAGCTAGCTAATCCAGTCATTTGGTCAGTATTTTGTGTCTGGTTTCTGCCCTCACATTGAATAAGCATGACTCGTGATCAGGGATCTTTCCAGATTCCTTAGATGCTGCAGAAGAAACTGAAACAAACTATAATGCTGATCTTCAAGAAATGGAGTAAGGAATGAAGACACTCTGTCAACCTGAAAAGAGTCCACTCTAAACCCACCAATAGTTTGGCTATCAAGGTTTCCTTGAGGGTTGATGAAATATTTTCAGAACCTTTTGAGACTTATAGAGTGCAGATGTATTCTCTAGGTTGTGTAAGGTGTAATGGTTAGGTTACATCTCATGATTTCCACAGCCATTTGAGGTTTTTATTTTCACATACCTCAGTTATAAAAAAAAAATTGATTTGATTAGATTTAAAGCTTTTTTGTTTCTCAATGTAAGTTTCTTGATGAACTGACCAATATTGATTTATGAATAAATAGCAGCAAAATAGTAGATGGGAGATAAGAAACGGGTCCTCATTCTTTCTTATAATTTATTCGTAGCAATGAATAATCTTTGTTGATTACTAGAAGAAATATAAATTTATATGATCGAGTTCTTATTTCTTTCAACAATAATGCTAATTCAATTTTGAAGCATACGTACTTATCTCTATCTCTGTCTAGCTTTTCTACATTCATCTCTCAACCATCTGTCTATTTATCTACCAGTTTCTGTCAGTTCTGTTTGCCATAATTTCTGAGTTAAGTTCAGTCCGTTAATATAATCTGTTGTTTGATTGTAAATTCTGTTTTCTTTGTAGTTATTGTGAATATTTTTAGACAAGAGGGTCTTGAAGTGCTCGGATGGAGACCTGTTCCTGTCAATGCTTCTGTAGTTGGTTACTATGCAAAAGAAACAATGCCCAACATACAACAGGTATTCGTCAAAGTTGTTAAAGAGGAAAATGTTGAGGACATTGAACGAGAACTGTACATATGCCGGAAGTTAATCGAGAAAGCAGCAAGCTCAGAAAGTTGGGGAAATGAGCTTTATTTCTGTTCTTTGTCCAATCAAACAATAGTTTACAAGGGAATGCTCCGCTCAGAAATTCTTGGTTTATTTTATTCTGACCTCCAAAGTGACCTGTATAAATCCCCTTTTGCCATCTATCATCGGAGGTATAGCACAAATACCACTCCCAGATGGCCCCTTGCACAACCAATGAGGTTACTTGGTCACAACGGAGAGATTAATACCATACAGGTTTTCATTTCTTTTTCTTTTTTTGAAAAGTTTTCTAGATAATTTCTAAATTGGTTGTATGAGTTACAGTTTCATTTTAAGTTGACACCACATTTATGTTCAGGGAAACTTGAACTGGATGCAATCTCGTGAAGCTTCATTGAAATCACCTGTATGGAATGGTCGTGAAAATGAAATTCGGCCATACGGCAATCCGAAGGCATCTGACTCTGCAAATCTTGATAGTGCTGCTGAAGTATGGAATTAACATATGTAGCTCTTATTTATAATTTTATAGAGAGTTCTGTTTTGATGACTCACAGGAAATAAATAAATTAAACATAAAACTAACCTATCTCCAAGTGGGTTTTGTAAAATCAGTTTTCTTTCTCTCTTCAAGTGGGTCCAATATTTTGATGATATTGCAGCATGTCTTCACAAAACTGAAGTAGAGCCAATCACACTTTACTTATAGCTTTCTGGATGCTTTCTGGGCATCACTTGCTTTGAGGATAAAACCAAGTTAATGTGTTCAGTTCAGAGAATTTTTTTGCATTATGAGTATGATGTTTCGGTGCAATATCTTTTAGCCTAATTGTATTTTCATCATGTTTTGTTTAATAGCGAAAGTTATAATTAGGTGCTATTTGTTTCCACATCATTATAGATATGGAAAGGGTTGCCATGCCTGAAGCCTTTTCATTTTTGTTGTTAAATTCTGACGTTCATGTCTTTATTTATTAAGTACACTGACAGTCTGTCAATTCCTACTGATCCTCCACATTTTTGGTTCTTAATAAATGGTCTTTTGTCTCAAAACTAATGAAATATAAAGTCATTGGGAAACTCTTTGATTTATTCTGCAAATTGATATTTCTTTGATCCTCTCCTTTACTGTTTCAATGGCAGTCCAAAATGTATTTAGGTTGTTAAAATACTTACCTATAATACATGCTGCCATGTTTCCAAGGAAGTTTATAGTACAAAAAATATCTTCTGAAATTTAATAAGAAGTAAAACAGTTTGTGGACTTGTGTTGCTTTATTAATTTTTTTTTTTCTGTAGATTTTTGTGAAATAAAAAGCTGATTTCACTTCTGAACTATCCATGTAACTTTATGCTAATCTGCCTGTTCCTGATTAGTATCTGCTCGAGCTTGGTTTCGAAGCTGATTCATGATGAGTTGTTCATCTTCATTTCTGTGTTTTGAGTGATGTGCCTGTTTTCATGATAGTTGGTCTACATTTATATGCTGCCCTTATACTTCTTCCAAACTTTCGAGTTTTTGATTTTTGGAACACACATTCTTTCATGGTTGACTAGAACTTATTATGCTTCTATTTTATTTCGAATAATTATTTTCCCCTCGAGTTGACTTGTTGCCTTTCATCCTCTTCTTTATGTGCGCTTAGTTATTACTAAGAAGTGGCCGCAGTGCTGAGGAGGCTCTAATGATCCTTGTCCCAGAGGGATACAAAAATCACCCAACTTTGTCGATAAAATATCCTGAGGTAATCTTAGTTGATATCTCAACTTTTGGTTTAAAGCATGAATATGCATGTGGTTGCGTTATAGTTTGCCTTTCTTTTCTTACATATGTTTTGTGGCTCATTTTTTATATATAGATTTAATCTGGTTTGTGTCCATTTGTTTAACCTTTTCGGTGAATCCATAATTAAATGAAGCCTTAGATTCTGAATGGGGCTTAGATTCATTAATCCGTTTTAACTATCCTTTTGTTCTTTACGTCTTAAGGTGTGTTTAATTTTAAAAAAAATTCGTTTCTCAATGCCTCAATCCACACACTCTCACCTGTCTTTACTTTAGAAAGCCTTCATGTTGATTTAATTGCTAGTTGAATCGTTGTACTTAGTCTTGGAACTTTCTACCCTTTAAATTCTGCGAAGTGATATAGTCATATTACAAGCGTGCCATTTGTCGACTTGTTTCTTTGGCAGGTTATTGTTGTTTGTTGTTTTGGCTCCGAGTTCCTTTAGTTATTTTGCAAGGGTATTTTAGGCTTCTCTGTTTTATTTGTTTATCCTGTAGATATGGCATACAAAAGAATTTGAGAATACAGGAACAGGAAAAACTCTCTCTTTTTCTCTAATATCTGGATTTTCTTAATCTATCATTTTCCACTACTCTTGTAGTCTGAGCTAAACCTGAACCAAATTGGTAAATCCTTAAGTTATCCTACATATTGGTTATGCTATAGTTATACTTAATTTGTTTCTGTTTTTAGGTGGTTGATTTTTTTGACTATTACAAGGGTCAGATGGAGCCTTGGGATGGACCTGCTTTACTGTTATTCAGGTAAAGCTTCCGAAGTCAATGCATGCGATATTAAAGAACAAGTAGATGCCTTGTTAGGGTCTGCATAACTAAAAGCATATGAAAACGTGAAGGTAAAGAGTGCATTGATTAAAATGAGGCATTGTCTCATTTGTTTTGTTTAGTGAAAAGCTATTTCATTGTACGGCCTAAGAACAATATAACAGTATCCATGTTTTTAGTTTTCCATATGGTTAGGTACCGCTTCAAAGAGTGTTTTGTTTCTTTAATTGTATGAGATTTCTTATTAAATACCTTTAGATTTGCAGCTAGTGGCAATTGATCCAATTTGATTTTGATGTGCATGGCAAGAGCTTTAGGGTATCAGAGATTGTCTAGGAGACACATTGTCTTTTAGTTTTAGTGTTGGTTTGAGAATTATATTCTATTCTCACCAGAATGAAAATATGGGCCTATATTTCGGGGTTTTTTCTTTTGAGAGCACGACCACGGAAAATAGCGTTGAAAGTGTATCCTTCCACAATTGTGTCTAAATTTCTGTCTTGGTGGAAA